GGTTTGCAACCATGAGTAACCACAAGGCGGATGCGACCATTAGGGTTCATATACTCAGGGAACCATGGAATTCCTTAAGCTGGGCTGTTCAAGATCGATCCGCAAGATCCTTTCAGATGGTCGTTTCCCTCGTGGTGTCCGGATGTCGGAAAGTCGGGATCCCCCGATTTGAACCGGGTCAAGATGTTTTGGGGAGGCACGCGCCCGAGCAATCGCCGAAGTTGGGTATCAAAGTCGGCCTCCAGGTGGCAAGGACGTGCAGTCGCAAGATGCATCCCTAGAGCTGCTTTTAACAGGTGTCCATCTCTTTTTTGAAACACATGTTGTGCCGAGAGGCAGCGCTTATTCTTCCCAACCACTTCTAGGAACGCGTTGAGAACTCATATGGTTTGGGCTCAGCTTGAAGTCGGCATTCAGCCGTTGGAGTCCCCCCAACTCGGGAACTCCATTGCTTTGGGATGTGCTGGTTCTCCGTAGGGGATCAAAAACGGCCTTGGGCAAGGAACCTGATCCCCTTAAGGGAAACATCGGGCATGGCTTCGTAGGGCTCATTCCGTCAAGTTGCATCACTCCCTGAGAAGGTTTCGATGGCAAGCAGCTTTCGCGGCCGCGGCCCGGGACAGGAGCAAGGTGTTTCCAGCCGCCCGGACAAGGTGCGGGCCTTAGCCCACGTAGACGTGTTGACTTTTTACCCTCCCAGCAACTAACGGAAGGAACCTGATGTTCTTTTGGGGCTCCTGGTTTGCGGCTATGCTTGTGTCTTTTCGCCGAGAAGTGCTCTCATGGCTTTGAAGAGGTCTAGACTTTTAAACACAAACACACTGGTGAACCCCTCATGCAGGTACCCTCCCGATTCACCCTTTGAAAAGCAAAGAAGGTCCAAGAGCTTCGGCACCGCGCAAAAACACATGTGGCTCAAAACGGTCTCAAAAGGGGCCCAAAATGGAAGCCTGGGAAATGGAGAAGACGAAGACTTGCGCCCTGTCTGTTTACAATTTTGAGCCACACCCACAGAGACAGCGAGACAGGGACAGAGACAGAGAGAGAGAGAGAGAAAACTGAGGCAGGCAGGTAGACAGAGAGACAGACAGGCAGGCAGGCAGGTTGGCAGAGACAGAGAAAGACAGGAGGACGGCGACAGAGAGTCAGAAACGCAAACATATATACAGATACATATATATATATATATATACATTATGGATAGACCCCAACAGGACTAGCTCGCTGTGAACTATTGGCCTTGCGGGCCATTGTTGTTTGGTTTGAGTTCATGGACCCCCCTGAAGGAATTGCGACAATCAATTTTAAGGGCTCTTACGGGAATTTGTCTCAAAATAGGAATCGGACCCCTGCCCAACAAAAAAGGAGGAAGAACACATGCGGATGTTTGTTTTGGTTTCCTTTCAAAGCAGCCCAAAAACAAGGTACCAATTTTAAAAGAAGATACCCAGATGTGCAGATGTGCTTGGCATTTGCTGCCAAGGAGCCCCTGCTGGGCGGTGGTGATGAGGATCGGGCACGCTGACCGCCCTTTCTTGAGGGTAGGCATTTTGGTGAACACCCACTACGGTTTGTTTGTTTGTTTGTTTGTTTGTGGATGTGTGGTTCTGTGTTTGTTTGTGGGGAGGGTTCCAGGATTTTGCCGCCACCCAAGTCTCTTGATCTGCAACAAGGCCCGATGGCCCCTCGCCTTTCATTTGAACCTGGCTTGTTTTCCAAAGCGCCGGGTTTCCACGGCATGTTGTTGACAAGTTTGTTATTGGATTCATGCAGATTCGGGGCGATCCATCACTGGCGATCTTCCTGTTTTCTCTGCTCCCGCATTCAGGGGTCATTATTTTGGGGTTATCAAAGTCAGAAATGGGGTTGTTTCCCTTTAACCCACCGCTTCATGGGGTTGTTTCCCTTTAACCCACCACTTTGCGGGTGACTTTGACCAGGGTAAAATAACGAGGCCAGGCATATCGCCCCTTCTTCCTTGAAAAAGGACCTCCGCCACGCTGGCCATGGCAACCACTAAAATAGACTAAAATGAGTGGTGCACCCACCCCAAAATGGTACCAATGGTTTTGACCCACAGCCATATGGGAAACCCATTTTGAAGGTTCCCCTTTGAGACAAACATGGCATTGCGTCTCCCGCCTTTTGGTTGCCTCCGCGCCTCCTGCTGTGAGGACACGCGCCGGGTGGACGCCACGCCGGCAAGCACCACCAAGGGGGTGCTGGCTCCTCAGCCTTGTGGGTTATACTGTGGATGGTTGCGAAATCCATTTCATTTCGCACCACTTTGAAACCATGGAAAACCATTGCTTAATTGGTATTTTCATTTTTTCCAGGGGGCTCAAGCAAATGAAAGAATTCGCACACCCTTTCAGAAACCCTCAAAGGATGATTGGCCTGTAAATACCAACAAACAATGGTGTCAACCAACCTTGGTTTCAACGTGGTGAGAAAAGGATTTCGTCCGTCCACAGTATTTGGCTGGGAACAACTAAAGGCG